TAGGCTGGAATATCCAGACGCTAGAAAGTGCTATCCGGTTGAGACTCATGGATATTTCGCTAGACAGAACTGATTTGAAATTAAGAGTCAAAACGGAAACAATTGAATGTAAATCAGTTTATATATAATCAGATTACTTTATTATATTCGTTGCGACTCATTTGGGTCAATTTCTAGGTCCCAAATATTAACGATTTAGCTCCTTTAAGCTTCATTTACCGATAACCCGTAATATGAAGAGAAGGAAATCCCACTTTATAGGGTACTAATGATCAAGACAACAAGATCCTTCAAATCGACAACGGCACTTTACATAAGGCTGCAGGATTTCCCCCTTGCCTCTAAGTACCTTTTTAAAACTATGCAATTTCTCCTTGGGGGTCCATATGGACCCCGGTTGAGAAAGCGCTGGCCTAAACAATAATAGCATACTAACGTGGCATCTGATGTGTTGTATGTTTTTCATGTGTGATGCTTAGCTTAACGTTATATTAATATACTGTACTTTTAATTTGTCCTTTGGATTTGTAGGGGATACAAACACGCAGTGACAATATCGAACCAATGGCCTGTATGTCTCTAGAGAACTGTTTTTTTTTACAAATACCGTGGCAGATAGTCAAAAAGTGTACATTTTGATGCAAGATTGAACAGAAATAATCCTAAAAAAATACGAAAGTAAACGTTGACCAATCAAATAAGAGAATTGCAGGAGGGGGTTGGTGAGGTTCCTGAGATAATTAATTTTTTTTCTTTGTGGGGGGGGGGGGGTAGGGACTGTTGAGAAATACATTGTATCTATCGACATTTTGGCGTATATATTTGGGGTATCTAGGTCACTTGGAAAGGTCTATCATCCTATCACAAAATAATGTATTTGAATAATATAAAGTGTGTTATTTGGGCTGTTTATTAGGATATTATAAACGGATTTATGTAAAAAAATAACATAATTCCATATTTGAAATACCTAAATAAACAGCACCTTTGGATTCCATCCAAACGACGACACGTGAACAAAATACAGCAGTAAACTTATGCCAAATCTGTATGCTTACTATAGAGATCAACTACATCACTTGCGGTTTTAAAAAAAATATTTTTTTTTATAGGTAGAACGTTTAAGATGAACATGGTAAATCGGCACCTTTTTTAAAAAAATCATTGCCTTATTTCTGAACAGATGATTATTTATATATTTCAACTAATTGCATACATAGATTATATAGAAATGTTTTGAAAATTAAGAATTATTCAAGTTTAAAATGCAAATAGTGGGTCTAGTTTTGTCCAGATGCAACAGTAGGAATCAACCAGGGTTGTACATTTGAGACAGTCAATACACAATATACACAAAGCATGGCCTAGAAAAATTTTAAGGGATTCAATAGACTAGAATAATATTCGTTCACGCTTAGCATTATTTATGCGTCATCAGATATACGCATAAATCACACATTGAAACACGATTTGAATAGATTCCCCGGGCATATAATATGTTTATTATAATTCTATCTTGTTTTTTTTTTGTTGCTACAACATGGTTGAGTTTTAATGACCGAGGATATAATTCTTAGAAATGAAATGGGGTTTTACATCCTACTAACGGAGACCTTTATCAGTTCATTTACGTGCACGCCAATGTGTACATACGTATTATGCGAACGACTAGATAATGTTTTTGTCACCGACGATTTTTTTTCTCAGCTAACACTAGGAGCGAATCCGAGACCTGGTTAGCGAGCCAGTGTCTTACTCATTGGGCTACGTCGGCTCTATATTTATTTAGAACCGGAAAACATTATCAGCAGGCTATCAACCTGTAACCAGCAAGTGCATAAGTGTCGCTTTACACGCTTATCTATATAATCCGTCTTCATTTGCCCAGTTCGGTACAGAAAAGTAGGACGTTAAACTCCATTTCATTTCATTTATCTATAAGCTTACATTATTATTATGTTCTTCCGTGTCAAGTTTAAAACAAATAAAAAGATGCCTTCTCGTGTACAAACTGTGATTTGATGATATATTTGGAACAACAACATATTCAAAATAATTAATCTATCAAACATTTGCTTCAAAGCCATATCAAACATTGCATTCGCGAGGAAATGCCCCAAGATATAAAAAAAACTATTTTTAGAAGCCTTGTTTGTCCCGTAACTTGATTGAGGGATGGACCCTTTTTTGCAGAATGTATGTGTCGTTACTTACTATCCATTTACCATACCTATTGAAGCCGAAGTAAATTCGTGGATTATCTTCTGTCAGTCACTTTTTTCGCCGTTTAATTGCAGAGCCTGTTGTACGTTTAAACCCCCCAATGTTCCCAAAACAGTCCAATCATTCGACCAAGAAATAACAACCGCTCAAGTCAAGCCAACATACAATAAGCCGTCTAGCTGACAGTTATTGGTACCCTGACGTGTGCCCAGTGCTTGTTCTATGGGTGTTTTTCAATGAATCCAGTATTTTTCTTGTAGGATTGGGCGTCTCCACTTTCCATATATACGACATTTGCCATACTTTTATTGTAAAGAACTGCCCTATAAATACTTTTGTGGGAATGTATGTTTAAGCTTATTTTACAATTAAAATATATTAATATCAAGTTGAAAAGTAAATTGAAGATAATTACTGAACGGTTTTAAAATGCGAGGAATTTTTTAAAATTGAAAAATAAAATAAATTTGACCTGGATTTATTTTTTTTAAAGTGTAAAACTTCGAAATCAGGTAAAATGTTGATGATCAACGATTAATATATCTGGTGCTTATTCTTAAAGTTTTATCATAATCGGTCTGTAAAGAAAGGTTCAGTAAATTGTTTCGAGGACAAGTCCAGTTGTTATTAATTTTATATATTTACACCCATTTATTAAAATAAAATATACAGCCTAACATTTATAACACGCTGGCTCAGTAGTTAAGACGTTTGCTCGATAATCTGTAGGTCGGGATTTTCCGGCATGACCCCCCCCCCCCCTTGTCAGTGGTGCAGGATAGGGGTCATGACAAGGCAGAGCGTAAAGTCGTTCGGATGGGACGAAAAACCGAGGTCACGTGTACACATGAGTAGGAATTCCACATAATACTAGCGTGTAGTGCAGCTGCCCGTTCAAACGTTCCCTCATAGCACACTGTATGGCGTACCCCCGTCTTTATTAACCCAGTTGGAGCAGAACAGTAGGACGTTAAACCTCATTTTATTCCCATAATGAATACATTTGTCAACTGAACAATTGACCCATACATGAAGCTGTTACTACCTAGTTGCCATCCTGACGCGAGTGTTGGCAAAGGGTCCATTCAAATCAAACGGCTATATACAAAAGCTTACTGCGAACCGTGTTGTGTCTTTGGCCTTGACATGCTTTATATTGTAATACTTCTTAGAAAAACGTTTGAGTGGAAATTTTATAATACATGGCGTTACTTGCATTGGCTATGAGCAAATCAGTAGGTTTATTGAAGTAACAATAGACCCGACAAAGCCTCGGTCTTTTGTACATTATCGACTTGCATTAAAAAAAAAACTTCTTCGGAAGTTCATTACTTCAGTCATGACATTATTGCAAACTACCCCTTTCTTTGAAATCCCAACCCGGACTATATCGCCTCCAAAGATTGACTTAGATCTAACAAAAAACAAAAGAAAAATATTAGTTCCAGTCTCTTTAGTGAGTTAAAGTCTAAATAATTATAAAGATTATGCTCCCATTTACACAGATAGTGATCTGGTAACTTCGGCTACTGTCACGCGATCTGGAATCATTTGTCAGACTTCCACTTGCTTAAGTCCAGGCCATTTTCAGGCTTCATTCAATCATCCTCATCTTTGAAACACGTTATATTTACTGATTCTCCGTCTTTATTTACTGATTATCTGTCCTCTTTACATGCATAACAATAAACAACTTGTACACCCATTAGTAACAGACATTTATCGTCTGTTACTATCACACGAGTTAATCGGCAAGGACACACATCATAACGCGTCTGTGTGTACTATCGTCAGAAATATATTTGATCCAACCTAATGTTTCGGTTTCTCATACACTGTTTCTTTTAATTCATACGATTTCGTCCACAGACATGATTTCAAACCGACGTACGACCAAATCTAGATTCACGGTTAGGTCTCAAGATTAAGGTCACCTGCAGATGTAAACAGGGCTAGCACTAACCCTAACCCCTACCCACAATCTCGTCAACAATCACGTGCCCTAACCATCGCGACCTTAAGGGAATCTGCAGGTGGCCTTAAAATTTAGACCGGACCTTTTTTCTATTAATCGACAGCAATATTTCCCGCAGTAAAGTTGCGTCCTGAGTACTTGTACTTGCTGGCCGAAAGCTAATGCTCGGAAGAAATTCTTAAAATCAATGTTCGTTAGTATGGAATGTGCTGAAATGGATGAAACACAGATGCTTTTTTAAAAGATATTTCTTCAAAGTATATTGTGTGCAATGACACAATTAATACACTATTTTTCACCTATATTAATTCCTAAATTTTTAGGACATTAAATTAGCCATTATCAAAAACACGAGTAAGAATTTAATATTGGTCCATCTAAATCAATACTAATGTTCTCATATCTTACCGTGACAATTTGGGATTCTACCAAATGTACCAAGGAATAAAGGTATTTAGCTCATTTAATACTGTCAACCTAGTTCTAATTTGAACACGATTTGTTATTTAATCTTGGACCCCTTCCCCACCCCAGGGAGGCGCCAGAGATTGTATTAAGGCCTTCCGCTTTCAACTGAATTTATTGTGGCTGTATGTCAATAATATAGCTGTTAATAGACCTGCACTTGCTTCAGCTTACTGTTCTTTATATTAAATGTATGGTTTTCTTTGGAAGCCTGACATCACGACATTGACTGCAGTCAAGTGGGCGTGTGTTTCGATTCATAGAAAACCTAGTTTCAACACAAATACAATGCCATAAAAGGGCATAATTCCTCATGTGATTAAAATCTGCGCACAACCACTGACTGATACTTAAAGCAATCGTTTCGAATTAACCTGCGCGTTTTAATATTTTGCTCGAGCGGTAAGGTCAGTTTTCGATATAAACGTTTTTTTACAAGATGTTTCTTAAGACTGTATTACTACTGGCTATTGCAGGTAAGTTTGACTTACAGCCCTCTCATTTCGAATTGCAATTGTGTTATATTCTTGATAACGACTTATGAAATCTTGTTGAAACGTCGCAGTGAAATAAACCGTAGTAATTGTTATCCATAAATAGTGTGTTATTTGAATATATTTGGTTTAATTAGGAAAATCAGCTCAAGAATGAATATAGATAGATTTCAATGAAAAATGAAACGATATAAATCTAAAGGAACTTTTAGGCACAGTAATAAACAAAATATATGGAGTTTGTAAAACGGGCAAAAGTAAAAGGGGTTGGTTTTAGGCTCATTCGGCTCTTTATTTATTTCAATGATTGGTTTGCCCGTAAGTGTCTTTAGCATTGACGTAAACCTGAGGAACTGGAGAAACGCACCAGACTGGGTCGGTGATTCCGCTGCTTTACACGTACAGGCTATGTGTATAAACCCACACCACCTGACCCAATGGCAGACCTAATGATCTAAAGACCACTCGACCAGCCCACCCGGTAAAGTGTGCTCTGAGCTAAAATCATTTTGATCCACAAGGTGTGCATTTCAATGAAAGCTATATGAAGAGTAGATCTATAAGCGTCTTTGTTAATATGAAATATGTAAGTTTTCTATCTGTTGGGGGGGGGGGGGGGGGCGAATGGTTAGCAAGTCATTGACTCAACTGGCATGGTTTCGACGGTTGTACGTGACAAGGAGTAGGGTTGCCTGTCCAACCTCGTGGGTTTTCTCTGGGTCCTCCGCTATCCTCCCACTGCAAGCGAATTATTGAAATAAAATGAAACCATATGTTAGTCCCGAAATGACCTAGTCTATAAGGAGTGGACGTTAAACTCTCTCTCTCTAGTCCCGAAATGACCTAGTCTATGTCCGGTCAAAATATTATTTATATGTAAAATTAAGAGTTCCAAAAACAGTTATGTGGGACAGTAATGAACAAGTCTGATGCATGTATGATGTTTCGACAAGTGCGCGATCGTCTTAATTGGTCTGTAGTCTAAGTCAGTGATTCTCAACATTTTGTCTGAGATTCCCCACCCCGGAGAAAATTGGCCCCTCATACCTCCCCTTCCCCAGCATTTTTGTATAACATCACTTTATTTCACTTGAATGCATAACTATTATTATAAGAGTACTAAGTACCGGTCAGAGAATGTGAGAAAATTTTGACATAGTTACGATTCATATCATTTATGTTTCAACAAGATTTTTTTGACATTGGCCTCGAACCCAATTTCCTACACAGTGGCCACGAAACAAAATATATTTGATTTCAAATATTGCATTGCTATTTCCCCATTCACCGTAGAACAAGAATATGCTCAAAATGAGGGAATTTGTTCACATGTTGAATTACGCCAGTCGTAAATATTTTCACAGTAAATTAAAGTAGCTAAGTCTTACACGTTGAAAATACGAATTATTTGTCAATTTAAATCAACATTGATGTTGTGATCTTAAAGGAAAAGATAGGCTTCTGATATCCAATATTTAAGATAAAATAAACATTTTACCATTCGTACACGAATCGTGTACGATAGCGCGTTTCAGTGTCATTTGTAACAAGTGACCAGAAGGATCGAGGCTAGACATATTCCACAACTCATGTCAAACAGTGACGCCATATCTTATCTGGGGAGCATGCGAAATAGGCTGGAATATCCAGACGCTAGAAAGTGCTATCCGGTTGAGACTCATGGATATTTCGCTAGACATAACTGATTTGAAATTAAGAGTCAAAACGGAAACAATTGAATGTAAATCAGTTTATATACAATCAGATTACTTTATTATATTCGTTGCGACTCATTTGGGTCAATTTCTAGGTCCCAAATATTAACGATTTAGCTCCTTTAAGCTTCATTTACCGATAACCCGTAATATGAAGAGAAGGAAATCCCACTTTATAGGGCACTAATGATCAAGACAACAAGATCTTTCAAATCGACAACGGCACTTTACATAAGGCTGCAGGATTTCCCCCTTGCCTCCAAGTACCTTTATAAAACTATGCAATTTCTCCTTGGGGGTCCATATGGACCCCGGTTGAGAAAGCGCTGGCCTAAACAATAATAGCATACTAACGTGGCATCTGATGTGTTGTATGTTTTTCATGTGTGATGCTTAGCTTAACGTTATATTAATATACTGTACTTTTAATTTGTCCTTTGGATTTGTAGGGGATACAAACACGCAGTGACAATATCGAACCAATGGCCTGTAGGTCTCTAGAGAACTGTTTTTTTACAAATACCGTGGCAGATAGTCAAAAAGTGTACATTTTGATGCAAGATTGAACAGAAATAATCCTAAAAAAATACGAAAGTAAACGTTGACCAATCAAATAAGAGAATTGCAGGAGGGGGTTGGTGAGGTTCCTGAGATAATTAATTTTTTTTCTTTGTGGGGGGGGGGGGGGGTAGGGACTGTTGAGAAATACATTGTATCTATCGACATTTTGGCGTATATATTTGGGGTATCTAGGTCACTTGGAAAGGTCTATCATCGTATCACAAAATAATGTATTTGAATATAAAGTGTGTTATTTGGGCTGTTTACTAGAATATTATAAACGAATTTATGTAAAAAAATAACATAATTCCATATTTGGAATACCTAAATAAACAGCACCTTTGGATTCCATCCAAACGACGACACGTGAACAAAATACAGCAGTAAACTTATGCCAAATCTGTATGCTTACTATAGAGATCAGTGAGCGTGTTGAACCAACTACATCACTTGCGGTTTTAAAAAAAAATATTTTTTTATAGGTAGAACGTTTAAGATGAACATGGTAAATCGGCACCTTTTTTAAAAAAATCATTGCCTTATTTCTGATCAGATGATTATTTATATATTTAAACTAATTGCATACATAGATTATATAGAAATATTTTGAAAATTAAGAATTATTCAAGTTTAAAATGCAAATAGTGGGTCTAGTTTTTTCCAGATGCAGCAGTAGGAATTAACCAGGGTTGTACATTTGAGACAGTCAATACACAATATACACAAAGCATGGCCTAGAAAAATTTTAAGGAATTCAATAGACTAGAATAATATTCGTTCACGCTTAGCATTATTTATGCGTCATCAGATATACGCATAAATCACACATTGAAACACGATTTGAATAGATTCCCCGGGCATATAATATGTTTATTATAATTGTTTTTTTTGTTGCTACAACATGGTTGAGTTTTAATGACCGAGGATATAATTCTTAGAAATGAAATGGGGTTTTACATCCTACTAACGGAGACCTTTATCAGTTCATTTACGTGCACGCCAATGTGTACATACGTATTATGCGAACGACTAGATAATGTTTTTGTCACCGACGATTTTTTTTCTCAGCTAACACTAGGAGCGAATCCGAGACCTGGTTAGCGAGCCAGTGTCTTACTCATTGGGCTACGTCGGCTCTATATTTATTTAGAACCGGAAAACATTATCAGCAGGCTATCAACCTGTAACCAGCAAGTGCATAAGTGTCGCTTTACACGCTTATCTATATAATCCGTCTTCATTTGCCCAGTTCGGTACAGAAAAGTAGGACGTTAAACTCCATTTCATTTCATTTATCTATAAGCTTACATTATTATTATGTTCTTCCGTGTCAAGTTTAAAACAAATAAAAAGATGCCTTCGCGTGTACAAACTGTGATTTGATGATATATTTGGAACAACAACATATTCAAAATAATTAATCTATCAAACATTTGCTTCAAAGCCATATCAAACATTGCATTCGCGAGGAAATGCCCCAAGATATAAAAAAAACTATTTTTAGAAGCCTTGTTTGTCCCGTAACTTGATTGAGGGATGGACCCTTTTTTGCAGAATGTATGTGTCGTTACTTACTATCCATTTACCATACCTATTGAAGCCGAAGTAAATTCGTGGATTATCTTCTGTCAATTACTTTTTTCGCCGTTTAATTGCAGAGCCTGTTGTACGTTTAAACCCCCCAATGTTCCCAAAACAGTCCAATCATTCGACCAAGAAATAACAACCGCTCAAGTCAAGCCAACATACAATAAGCCGTCTAGCTGACAGTTATTGGTACCCTGACGTGTGCCCAGTGCTTGTTCTATGGGTGTTTTTCAATGAATCCAGTATTTTTCTTGTAGGATTGGGCGTCTCCACTTTCCATATATACGGCATTTGCCATACTTTTATTGTAAAGAACTGCCCTATAAATACTTTTGTGGGAATGTATGTTTAAGCTTATTTTACAATTAAAATATATTAATATCAAGTTGAAAAGTAAATTGAAGATAATTACTGAACGGTTTTAAAATGCGAGGAATTTTTTAAAATTGAAAAATAAAATAAATTTGACCTGGATTTATTTTTTTTAAAGTGTAAAACTTCGAAATCAGGTAAAATGTTGATGATCAACGATTAATATATCTGGTGCTTATTCTTAAAGTTTTATCATAATCGGTCTGTAAAGAAAGGTTCAGTAAATTGTTTCGAGGACAAGTCCAGTTGTTATTAATTTTATATATTTACACCCATTTATTAAAATAAAATATACAGCCTAACATTTATAACACGCTGGCTCAGTAGTTAAGACGTTGGCTCGATAATCTGTAGGTCGGGATTTTCCGGCATGACCCCCCCCCCCCCCTTGTCAGTGGTGCAGGATAGGGGTCATGACAAGGCAGAGCGTAAAGTCGTTCGGATGGGACGAAAAACCGAGGTCACGTGTACACATGAGTAGGAATTCCACATAATACTAGCGTGTAGTGCAGCTGCCCGTTCAAACGTTCCCTCATAGCACACTGTATGGCGTACCCCCGTCTTTATTAACCCAGTTGGAGCAGAACAGTAGGACGTTAAAGCTCATTTTATTCCCATAATGAATACATTTGTCAACTGAACAATTGACCCATACATGAAGCTGTTACTACCTAGTTGCCATCCTGACGCGAGTGTTGGCAAAGGGTCCATTCAAATCAAACGGCTATATACAAAAGCTTACTGCGA